ACCTAGTTTTTTTTTTTTTTTTAACCTTTTTTTTTTTTTTCTTGCCTTGTTTTTTTTTTGGTCAAGGTCTGTGTGTGCCAAGTTTGGTGTTTGTTGGGGTCTTGGAGTCAACTGTTTTGGCTAGCCTTGAAAAATCCAGAAAATTTAAAAAACTGAAAATAGTGAATTTGCATGAAAACACACTTTTGCCTTGCTGTTTTATAGTTTTTTTAAGTTTTTTTTTAATTCTTGTTTTTTTGTAAGTAGTTAGTATGATCTTCACTCTATGAATTGGTGGCATGTTTGGTTAAAATGACCCTTGGGGTTTGTTATAAATGGTCCGAGAAGTGGTTTGAAAATTGAGGCCTTTGTTAACCGTCTCTCATTGAGATTTGTATGGAGTCGAGATTCACCTCGTTAAACGTGAGCGTGGGTAGCTGCCCATGCTCAACTCTTTCGTCGATCCGCCACAGTGACCTTCCGCCTTTCCCGATCGTAGACGAAGACAGTGTGTACTACGATGCGAACGTACGAAACCCGTTGTTGCGGACCGACCGGGTTCACTTCTACAACCCATCTAAGGTCGGTCATATAGGGGGGAGTGGGTTTGTTCTGATTGATCGGTTTTCCTTCCCTCCCCTGTTCTTGCCGTACTCTGATTTGACGGTGCTGTGTTGGTCAGCGGCCCACGTCACGTGGCGTCCCCAATTTAACTATCGATGGTGTCAGCAGGGGGACTCGTGCTCATGGCAGAGGCTGGTTCTGGGGTTCGAAGGTTCGCCCAGGTTCCCAGAGCTCTCTCGCAGTGTGGGCGCCCTCCCGGCGAGTTTCCAAACCTGGGTCCCCCCAAGCTCTTTTGAATGGGACGACGTTGCACCTAGTCGACCTCGCGGAATTGATGAATCCGACTCGGAAGCCTAGATGCTCCATATCTTTGACTTTCTGCCATAGAGTTAGCGTGAACCTAGCGTGAGAGAAGCAGTAAATTCTGCTCTTCCCTTCCCCTTTTCCTTTTGTCTTTCGGGTTGTTAGTAGTCGGCCTAGTTGCGCGCCGCCCTCAGCCTCCTCGTCGAGAGTAAATTCTGAATTATACCTCACGTGTCGGTCCTGATTAACCCCTTGAATTCCCTAGTATCTCCATTCTGTCCTCTACACTGGCCTGAACTTTGGGATAACCTCGGAAGAAAGCGAGAATCCTCCGTTCCGTCCGGGTGATTTAACCTCTGCCCAAAAATCATCGGCCACACACCCAATTACTCTGTTCGGCGCCTGTTACTACGGGACGTCACGTGGGGTGTGAGGTTGCGCATCACACATCGTATATTCCCATAGTGCCATGGGGCGGGGGCCCTCCCATTCGCACTCGGCTGGATTGAAGGGGAGAGCGCTGATAGGGGTAGCAGATTCATAGACCCAGTGGTCCTTATTTTGGGCCTCCAAGCACCCTGACGCTGAGAAGCTAGCTTATGGGGACATCTCGATCGCTCTCCTCTTGTCTGAGAAGGGTTGTGTGCCTGGGTCCCGGCAGCGCTGGTGCATAGGCCTGGAGCGTTGCATTAGTGAGGGATAGGTTTTGGGCCTGGTACCCCAATATTAGTGTCGGGAGGTCCTGAAAGCTCACCACCCAGTCCCCTGGGGTGAGAAGCCGTCCTTTTCTAAGCGCGAGCCTCCTTGCTAGCAGGATTGTATCAATGATCACGTCTCTTTTGGACTCCAAGTCTTTGATGCCCAGCTGGGCCTTGAGCTCCGACAACGACTTCCAATCCCCCGTCTCTGGGTTCCACAGATCGCCAACCATGTAGCAGCCGCTTCGGACCCATGGGAGCCATGGGGAGTGTGTGGTGAGGTGGAGGATTTTCCCTGTAGGATCTCTGATTTGTGGGTTTCCGAAGAGAGGTTGCCTCAAGACCTCACGCCATCTGTGAGGGGTGGATTTGCAAATTATCCCTAGAAAATCGCATCTTTGTGAAAAAAAAGGGGAAAACTAGGGCGCAGTCAGTCACGGTTTCGCGAATTTTGCTCCAAGCTAGGGAAATCGTGAATGTGTCCAACCCATCCTTAGGGTTGGGTGGGGATGTGTTGTATTCGCCGTACTATTGGGAGGATGTCTGAAGTGGATTCAGAACTGAAAACGTGACTGCGTCTCAAAAGCTCTTGACGGCTGCCCTTCGGAACGATACACCGAAGATTAGCATGGCCCCTGCGCAAGGGTGACACACACAAATCGAGAAGTGGTCCAAATTCTTGGGGCCAACAAAAGCTTTGTCGGGCTACCGGTACTCCGTTGCTGCATGCAAACATGCGGTATTCATATTGGTGCATTATTGTTATGGCAGGCAGCAAGCATCGCTGTGACGATGACCTCGGCACGAGAGAGGGCCTCGCCACACCACTCTCGAAATGTGAAAAAGACAAATATGTGGCGGGTGCATCTGGCCACGTCGTAGCGTGAAGTTCATTCTCATTTTGCACGTTTTGAGAGTGGTGTGGCGATGGCCAGAGTCACGGATTGGTAGTCGGTCCATGTGGCTGCATGGTGGAGAGGGGTAATAACTTTCAAGTAACACATCAAGTGGTCGAATCCTGTACAAATCCAACCCAGATGAATGTAAGCATGGTAAGGGCTCACCCTCTCAGTAAAAGGAAAAGGAAAAGAAGCCACCCACGCATTGGGTGGCTTTCGAAAAAGGGCGAAGAGTACATGGCCACCCATTGGGTGGGGTCCGAAAAAGGACGATGCTTACATGGATTGGTGTTGTCGGTAGTGTAGTGGGCGGGCTGTTCAGTTTCCTTTCCGCCGGAAACGTCTGGTGCATTAGGCCACGAAGATCTGTGGACCCGATAAAAGTCCTAGCGGATGGATCGCTGATACTTTTGGCGCCTTCTTGTGTCCTTTTGTTGTTATTTTTTATTCTGAAACCATTTTAGAGGGATATGTCTTTGGCGACCGGCGGTAGTACGGGGTGGGTTTGAGAGCCTACGAGCCTACGTTCGTCCGGCGACGTTCTTGCCCCGAATACAACGTACGGTCATTCTAGCCGTATGTAGACTGAAACATACCCCAAATACAGATATTATAATAATACTGCGCGTTGTATTCGGGGGCAAAAAAAAAGAGCGGGGACATCGGTGAGGAACAGTTTCGGCGACCGGGGGGGTAGTACGAGTTGGATTTGAGAGCCTACCGGTAGCAGGGGCATCAGTGTGGTGCAGTTTGGGCGACCGGGGCGGTAGTGAGGTGCAGTTTGGGCGCCCGGGGCGGTAGTGAGGTGCAGTTTGGGCGACCGGGGCGGTAGTACGATCTGGTTGTGAGAGGCGCGGACATCGCCGAGAGGACAGCCAGGGTCCGCTGCCGTCGCGCGACAGGACAGCCAGGGCCCGGTGACCGAGCAGAAGGGGTAGGGGGTAGAGGTCAGGTACAACAGACAACTGGTGTAGGAAGGTTGCCGGAGCCGGCACGGATTAGCCTCTCCCCTCAGCCACAACTGCCCGGAGGTGAGAGGGCCGATGGACGAGAGGAGCAGGAAGAAGATAGGGCGGATAGGAGGCATGAAGTCCGTCCATAGCTGTTTTTCACCGATACGGGACCGGCCTGCACGGACAGTGACCCAAGTTAAGTTTTGCGAAGGCCGCGAAGAGCGCACGCGTGTTGATGTGTTAGGCGCGCACAAGTTGGGATTTGGGCCTGAGCATCGCCGGATGGTCTCGGGCGCGGTCGTCGGCCAGTCCGGGGAGGGCGATGGCTAGTAGGGTGAGCAAAGCACATGGGGCTGGAGAAGGGATAGTAATGTGGTGGTGGATGAGCAATGGCGGGGCGGTGTGGTGTGAAAGGTGTTTTGGGGACCTGCTGGTAGACGAGTCGGGAGGACGTCAACATCAATTAGTCGTCTGGGGGGCTGGAGGTCGGAATGCGGAGAAGAGTGTGTGCACGCGCGCCTCTCTGTGCACGTGTCGGTATCTCTCTCTCCCCTGCCTGTTGTCTTGTTGAGGTATGCTGTCTTTCCCTCGTGGCTAGGGGATGTGCGCCCTCGCTTGGTGACCCTGCTTGACGTCCCTTCCTGGTACACATCTTCGGTGAAGATGATGTCTTTGGAAAGAGAGAAGGCCATAACGAGGGACAGCTTGTGGAAGAAGGGGGGGGCAAACTCATGAGTGCTGCCGTTGTCCGGCGACGGATGCTGGGGTGAAGGTAACGGAGGCAAGTGTGGGGCTGCGCGGGGGGGGGGAGGCGGGCTATATCAGCTTGCCACCGCCAGTTTTGCGAGGATGGCCGTGGTCGTGACTGTTCATGGCGGCGGCGGCGCCACGTCCGCCTCCATGAACGTCCCCGTCGGCTCACCCTCCACCAGCCTGCTCCGAGTAGGCCCGCAGCTACGCCTTCCAGCATTTGCTATGGTGGACCTGGCAGGCACGTCCTGCTCTTCTTCTCAGGCTTGGATAGGTAGGGGCTTCTGTCGCCGGCCCTCCTCCATTGGATCCTCGTCTTCTTCCTCTTCCTCTTCTACCTCTTCTTCTTCTTCTTCTTCTTCTTCTTCTTCTTCTTCTCCTTCTTCTTTTTCTTCTTCTGCTTCTTCGTTTATCCATTCATCGTCCTATTCCCCTCCTCCGCTTATTCATCGTCATCATCACCACCAACATCAGAATCATTTTCATCACAGTGCTGGTCGGAATAGCGTTTCCTCCTCGCAGCAAATCAAGTCTGCTATCGATGCGAGGGCAACGGCGGCAGCGCCAGAACACGTGGCAATTGCGTCCATCGTGGACCTGGGAGAATGCCACGCGGCAGATGATCTGCGGGTATCGGGCGGGAGCGATGTTGAAAGCGCTCGCGGTGGCGGAAATGCAGCCCGCGGAACGAGCGCAGCGACTGGGACGGCGAAGCCGCACGTCGTGGTCACACGGCCACTGGAGCTGAATTTCGTCGCCAGAGTGGACAGCGGAAACGCAGCAGCTGTAGAAGGAGGTAAAACGAGGGATCGGGGCGGAAGTGCGAGTGGGAGGCAGATGGAAAATACGAAGAGGAAGATAGTTTCTTGTCGTGGGAAAGGCAATGGATCCACTGGTATTGCGAGGCCGACAAGCGGAGGTGGAGGACCGGCGAGTGCCAGAGAAAATCCTGGCTTTGCTCCCGTCGACGCCTTACCTTCTTCGCCTCCATCTCCATCGCGCCTGTCCCGTGCGCGCCATTCTGCGACCGCTTCGGGCAATCATGAATTCGACAGTGACTGGCCGGTCGACCGGTTGGTTAACCCGGTCCCAGCAGCACGGTTGTCGTCGTGTAGTGTTGTCCCTCTGCTTGGTCTGGAGATGAAGACGGAAGCTCAGGAGCCAGCTATGGCAGCGCCAAGGGTAGAAGCTCCAGCCTCTGCACCTTTTTCTACCGATCCCGGGGAGGAGCAAACGGGAGAAGCAGAGGAATCCCGGGGTCGCACTATCGGGATGGATACGACCGCGTCTGTGTCGGTCATTGCCAATGGCAGCGTCGGAGGCTACTTGTCGAGGGGGACATCATCATCATCATCAACTTCAACGTCGACGTCGTCGATGGAGGAGAACGAAGAAGGTGGAAGTAACAATGAGAGAAGGAAAGGTGGAGGTCGGCGATGGACTGGCCCGAAGCGAATGAAGAAAAGGGAGCCTTTGCCACCGTGGTCGCCGGAGTACTGCCGAAGGAAGGAGGAGGAGATGTTGAAGTCGATTCTGGATATGAGTGCCGGTGGTGACGATGAAAATGGAGATGGAGGTGATTATGTGCGAAGACGGAAACGTCACGTTGACAGCGTGCTGAACGCTTGGCTCGGCAAAATCACGCGTGTGGAGTTGATCAATGTCGCCAGGGAGCTTGGTCGATTACGTTGCGCTGATTACTCTCTGGATATCTTCTCCTGGATGACGGCTCAGAAAGGACGTTTAAAACCAAACGCGCACGCGTATGTGTCCATGATCTCGCTCCTCGGTCGCTCGGCGATGGTGGAAAAGGCACAGCAATTGTTCGACGAGATGGAGGACAAGGGTGTCGAGAGGACAACGCACGCGTATAACGCTATGATCGGTGCGCTGATCGAAGGGGGGAGAGAGAAGGACGCATGGGCGCTGTTCCTAAGGATGCGCAGAGAAGCGAAGCAAGCGCAAGGCGACAGCAGGGGGGCAGGTATTCGCGCTGCTGTTGCCGATATGAATGCGGAATGCGATGCCGCAAACGAATCGGTTGCGTCCTACCTTAGCGCTAAAGCGGAGGGGAATGCTGGTAAGAGTGTCGGTACTGATGTCGAGAGCAGCAGCAGTGATGAGCTTAACCGAGTGGAACCCGATGCCAAGCGGAGGGGATACAAATGCGCTCCTGACTGTGTCACGTATAACTCCATTCTGAAGTATTGTGCCAACATCAGGAGTCGTAGCGAAAGACGGGACCTTAAAAGTGCGGGTGGATCGACTCGAATCGGAAGCGGGAAGGGTCATTATAGTAAAGCGCGCGATGAGGACAGGGCTTATGGTGCGCTGTGGGCAATTGATCTTCTGCAGGGCATGATTGAGGACGGCGTGGAACCGAACCTCATCACATACAACACCGTCATCAGCGCCTGCAGACATCATGGCCTTTATCAGAAAGCGATGGAGATCTTCCGCAAAATGGAGGAGAAGGGAATTCGCGCAGACGTGATCACTTACAATTGCCTGATTGATGTGTGCGCCAAGGCCAAGCTGTGTGACAAAGCGAGCGACTTGTTCAAGTCGATGAAATCGGCGGGAGTAGGGCCGAACCTGATGACCTACACGGGGCTGATTGGCGCGTACGGAAGCGCGGGAAGGCCTGAGGACGCACAGCGTGTCTTCGATGAACTCGTACGGGTTGCTTCGTCTCCTTCTGCCTCTCCTCCTCCTCCTCCTCCTCCTCCTCCTCCTCCTCTCGCTGTTGGAGATATGGTGGAGTCTTCTCGTACTACTCCTCCCCTTCCGTCTCCTAGCGGTCGGGGCATGGCGGAATCTCGCGCTACGGTAGTTAAGCCTCCTGACGTTTTTACATGGACGATGATGGTGGATGCCTACGGGCGAGCGGGAATGGCAGAGAAAGCGGCGCACATGTTTGAAGAGATGCGCGCCAGTGGCATCCGGCCGAGCCTGCTGACATGGACCGCGTTGATGAGGGCACACGGACTCGTTGGGGATTGTGATGAGGCTACGCGCGTGTTCAACGAGATGCAGCGGGCGGGAGAAACCGTTGACATCACCGGAATCAACGTTTTGCTTGACGTGTACGGTAAGAACGGCCGCTGGAGGCAGGCTGCTGTGGTGTACAACGCCGTCTGGAGCAGGTCGCATGCCATGCGGACTGACAGCAGCTTTTCTAACGGGGACCTAAATCATCCAAACGGAACTTTGAGACGGACGGCTTCAGGTGCAACGTCTATTGCGGAGACCGGACACTTGTCTTCATCATCGGCTTTATCGACGTCGTCAGCGACGTGCGGAAGCACATCGGTGGTGCTCACGATGGGAATGAATCCGCCGCCGTCAGATTGCCGTGTGGAATCTGTGGATGGTGCTGCGGCATTGCCAATGGGAGATGTAGTACGAAGGCAGGCGACCAGAAGAGCTGGAGAAGCGATGGCGATCGACAGAGAAGACGAGGTGACGACCAATGGCAATCACGAACGTCGTGGCCATGGACAAGTGTCTCAAGTAGTCTCTGTTCTCCCATCGCCAGTCTCGTCCGCCGACGACAGGGAACGTCCTTCTTCTTCTTCTTCTTCTTCCTCTCTCTCTTCCTCATCTCGTTCCACGTCACGCGATGGATCCCCGTCGGAGAGCCCGTTATCTCCTTGCCGCGGAAGTAGGCTGGTGGCCGGTGATGAATCTGAGGAAACGTGTTCTGCCAGACCGATCGCTCAGCCGCCGGCCTCCGAGCAATGCGGACCTGGCAGGAACGACGGTTTTCCCTCAGAGCAGGATGCCATGATTGCCGACCATAGCCGCGGCCACGGCAGTCCTGTTGCAGCAGCTGCAGCTGCACGCAGCAGCAGCAGCAGTAGCAGTCTTTATAGCAGCTACTCGTCGGGACACTTGGCAGCAGATGAGGTGAAGCAGTCGGCTATGGCGGCTGAGGCATCAGCAACAGCGGCAGCAGTGCCCGAAGGAAAAGAAGAAGAAGAAGACGAAGAAGAAGATAGGGATGTTAAAGATGCGTCCATAATGCATAGACGTCCGCAGTCTTCGGAACAGCAGCGGATTGGTAGCGAAGAGCACAGCTTGTGTTCCTCCAGGTTGATCTCCCAGGTATCGCCAACCTCCTCGTCGTCTCTCACCACGTTGTCCTCCTCTGCTGCCACGGAATCACGCTGTCCGTCCGGGAATTCATTCGCACCAGAGGCTGGCGTTGCTAGACCCGCACTTTCCTCATGGAAAGTCAAGCCGCTGTTTGGTCGAGTGGCTGCGCGTCCGAATGTCGCAACTTTCAACACGATGATCAATACTTTTCATCGAGCCGGAAGATTAGAGGAAGCCCTGCACGTAGAGAAACAGATGGCGGTTTGTGGTTGCCAGCCCGACCATATCACATTGGCGTTGCTGGCGCGGACGCTAGATGACATGGGATTGCATCGCCGAGCAGATGAACTGAGGAAGAGTGTGAAGAAGGGCAGAAGGAGATGACGAGGATCTGCATTGTGAGATTGGCAAAGCCCTTGCGAGGAGGGCAACAACGACGAGGATCAGCAGTAGCCGTATGCACCTGGTGCGCGCGCGCAAGAGAGAGAGAGACGGAGAGACAGACACACAGAGAGAGAGAGAGAGAGAGAGAGAGAGAGAGAGAGAGAGAGAGAGAGAGAGAGAGAGAGAGAGAGAGAGAGANGAGAGAGAGAGAGAGAGAGAGAGAGAGAGAGAGAGGATATATCCCTGAGTCTTGACTCAACAGAGCTGTGTAGGAGCACTGCTGAACGGAAGTCTTAACCAAAATTTTCACGAACCTTAACGATCTATCATCTCCTTTTTAATCCTGCGGCTCGGACCGGCAGTGCTAGACGTCTCTGCAGCGAGGAAAAGGAATAGTCGGTTCGGACGATGCTTCGTGATAGCGATACCGACTTAGAGTCGTCAGTTAGGCTCTTAATCAATCGGTCGATTTGTTTGACTTGATTGGATTTTCAATTGATTATTTGAAAAGTGGACTCGGGCAAGTCTTCTGCTTTCGCTGCAGTATGGTGTTTCCAACGACTACGTAGGACTAATGGTCTGTCTCGGTATGGTTCTGTGTTCCGCTCTTCAAGTGGAAGCACTGATGCATTGATTGTCATGACAGCAGACGGATCATCTGGGCAGACTGTCCTCTAGTGGACTCATCTTGTCGATTGTCGATCTCTGGACCGTTAGGTTCTGTTGCCGTTAATGCAAAGCCCGTCCCTGGGTTCTGCAGTCGCCGTAAGGGTGTGTGATCATATGGTTCGAGTCCTGAACAGCTTCTGTGACTGTCAAGGAGAATTCTGGGTTGGTGGGTAGACCGGAGGCTGCCTGCTATGTGTGTGTGTGTGTGTGTGTGTGTGTGTGTGTGTGTGTGTGTGTGTGTGTATTTTAAGAGGTGCTACTATTGTACAGGATGTAATTAAAATTCTTGAAGTCTTCTTCTTAACCAGGCCTGCGTCCGTGCTATTCTTTGTCGTTAGTGAATTGCACCTACTTCGAGTACGAAGCGAGCATACGATTATGTGTTGAGTTCGTTCTGTCTGTTGATCTTCCTTCAAGGACCGATTGCTCTTTTCCGCATGCTTCTGAATAAGATTCGTTGAAATAAGTTTTTCCATTTCCCTTTCTAGACATGGATATCTTTCATAATAATTGCTTTCCCAACTTCGAATATGATGTCGACTCTCAGACGCCATGGCAGACTTCAGGAGGATGTCTGTCAGGCGCTTTGTAAATGTGTTTTTTTTTAACTATATCACGTATACAGGGCCACAGACACACGCGCAGAAATGATGTGATATACAGAGGCACGCTGCCACACAGAAAACGAGAGAGAGAGAGAGAGAGAGAGAGAGAGAGAGAGAGAGAGAGAGAGAGAGAGAGAGAGAGAGAGAGAGAGAGAGAGAGAGAGAGAGAGATGGAAATGATTTTTTTGTCATTGTTGCCTCCGTGAAGTAAGACCTCACTACGTTGCTGGCAAAGGATTTTGGATTTTGGCCTGGCATACCCAGGAGATGCACCTTCATCTCGACAGATAACTCAGAGTCTGCTTTGATGGAGAAGATGACGCTCTGGCTTGACTGCAGCAAACTTAGGAGCAATGAGGTGGTTCTGCCAAGGGTAGACTGAAATTGCATTGTCAGAAGTGGACCAATTTATTGGTATAGTACTATACTTTGTTGGTCGCTACCTGGCAGAGTAGTGCAGCCAGATAGAATTGAAGGAAACATATGATGATCGATTGAGAGTTCCCTTACATGAATGAAATTCAATCCTTTTTTTCTGTTTCATAAACTTCAGTGAAGACAGATAGAATTGAAGGAAAGATGTGAATCAATTGAGAGTTCCCTTACATGAAATTCAATCCCTCTTTTCTGTTTCACATTAACTTTCTTTTCTTATTTGGGGGACAACTGTTTGACCCCTCCTCCAGTCCCTCTTTGTGGAGGAGTGGTCAAACAGTAGTCACCCAAATAAGAAAAGAAATGGACTCTGTTTGGCTCCTGTTTGACTCCTGTTTGACTTCTGTTTGACTCCTGATTGACTCCTGATTGACTCCTGTTTGACTCCTGTTTGACTCCTGTTTGACTCCTGTTTGACTCCTGTTTGACTCCTGTTTGACTAGTGTTTGACTAGTGTTTGACTACTGTCTGACTAGTGTTTGACATTACTGTTTGACTACTGTTTGACTACTGTTTGACTATACTGTTTGACTACTGTCTGACTAGTGTTTGACCTTACTGTTTGACTACTGTTTGACTACTGTTTGACTACTGTTTGACTACTGTTTGACTACTGTTTGACTACTGTTTGACTACTGTTTGACCTTACTGTTTGACTACTGTCTGACCACTCCTCCAGTCTATTCAAGATGAAATGGACTCGAGCACACATGAAATTCAATCCCTCTTTTCTGTTTGACCACTCCTCCAGAGGACAAGAAGAAGATCTATCTGTTCAAAGCAGCCTGTTTGTGGAGTCGTGCAATTAGAAGCATTTTAAAAATCATTGAAACATGTTGCAGGTTTCATCTCATCCCTGGCTGCTGCTGGCACAATTGCTGTTGCAATGTTAGAGCTCCTGCCACAGCTGTTGGAAGATGCACCCAGGGGAAAAAGAAAAACGATGCAGCCAGTTACACTCATGAAGCCCATGTGTCGGTTCAGACTCACGCGTGTAGACCTAATTTTCTTCAGCTTTGACTTGGTTCTATTTGAGTCTTTTTTTTATTTGTGGGTCCTTCTTTGAAGGAGGGGGCCGTTTAACATAACGAGCCCTCGTGACTATGAGGGGCTTAGCATGGGGGATTGCACAATGTGCAATAGATGCCCCAGGCCAGTGCTGTCACTGCTGTGGGTCTTACACTCTCGTGTTCAAGTTTCGCAGGCGGCCAGCGGCCTATTGCTTCCACGCATTTCTTGGCTATATGTTCAATCCAGGCCTGGAGGCCAGCTTGCCCTTTCAGGGAGGCTGGAGCTTTGGGGTATAGATAAACTTCTGTTGGGACCTCCTGTCCTGGGGTTGTGGGGCGGGGAAATCGAAGAGGTGAAAACAAACAAGCCTCTGGCTGGTGAAGGGTTGTGGACCTGCAGTTTGATTATTATGGCCAACAACTTGAACCCTGCAGTTCTGATGCCAGCCGGGCGTAACAAAAGGTTTCCTGTCAGGCTTGTGTCTTCTTGCACAAGGATGCGCAGGGGGTACTCACGCCAGGACTTTACTGGACGTACCTAACCATAGTTTGGCTACTTGGACTATCCTTAGGCTAGCTTGTGTTCCCCTCCCTTGGACTTCCGGCACCTCAGAATAGTACATCGAGCACACGAATGGTGAACAAGTTCGGGACATGGCATGTGGTCCAGTCGGCCGTTTTGGCCTGGTGCCAGCATGATACCCATTGCGGTCCAGTTGGCCAACCCTGCAGAATAGGACCTGCGGTCCAGTCGGCCGTTTTGGCCTGGTGCCGGCATGATGCCCATTGCGGTCCAGTCGGCCGTTTTCGCCTGGTGCCACCATACCCATTGCGGTCCAGTCGCCCAACCCTGCCGAATAGAACCCCAAGTCGGCAACCCATTGCGGTCCAGTTGGCC